ACGATTGAGGGTTATTCCTTTTTCCCCACTTTCCTTTAATAACCTTTTAGATAAGTTCGTGCCTTAGGTGTTATTACAATTCTAATCATTACCTTTTGCCGAGGAATGAAGGTAGTTAAAGTTATAGTGGTGTCAAGGGCAAAAAAACGTTCTTTTGAGATGCCAATTTTTGCAGACACGGAGGTTTAAACATTACCAGAAATTCACTGTCTGTATAGCAATGGTGTAACAATACTAGCTTTTCTGATACTGAAAGTTACAAGCAAGTTTTTACCTCATTGAGCTGTTAAAGCTAGACCAGAGAAAGATCATTTGGCAGGTTTCGATTTCTTACTCGATCCGTGATCAAACTTTTTGTTATACGTTAGTTTCAATTATACATAGATACCTCGAAAAGGACCTCCAATCGGTTGTGAAATGGGGCAGAAATTGGCTGGTTAACTTTAATGCTTCAAAAACAAAACTGCTCTCACCACAGAGAACCATCCCTGCCCCCACATTAGAATGTCTGACGCTTTAACTCCACGATTACTCGGTCTCACATTGACTGCTGACCTGAGATGGAAGAAATACACTGAGTCAATAGATTCGTCCACCGCATGGAAAGTTGGCTCCCTGCGCCGCGCCAGGAAATTTTTCTCGCCGGAATCGATCCTTCAAATCTACAAATCAACCATTCGCCTTTGCATGGAGTATTGCTGCCATATATGGTCCGGTGCCCCTTCTGTTTGCCTCAAGGTTCTTGATAAGATCCAGAGACGGATATGCAATGTAATTGGCCCTGATCTGGCATTTCGTCTGCAGTCACTCTCTCATAGACGTGCCGTCGCCTCCTTCTGTCTTTTTTACAAATACTTTCATGGTAATTGCTCCGATGAGCTGCTTTCGCTGGTTCCCAAACTTCATGAATTTAAGCGTTCTACTAGGCTGGCATCTCGCTCACACCCTTTCACTGTCGAAACTGTTAAATGTAGCCGTCTCTTCTACTCTAATAGCTCCATGTCTCGCACCTCTCGCCTGTGGAATTCCCTCTCCTTTTCTTGTTTCCCTGATAGCTATAATTTCCAACTATTCAAATGTAATGTCAATCGACGTCTCCAGATGCAGTGATCTATCCCCTATCCTTCTCTTCATCCTTTCCTCTATCACTCCTATTTGCTCTAGCTCCAACTCTCTGTAACCCCTTGCGTGCTAGTGGCCTTGCTTGGGGTGAAACGCTTAAAAAAAACAACTTCGTTTCCGTCATACAGTTCTGAATATAGCAACGCACATGGTCGGAAAATGAATTGTCATCTGTAACACGCACCTTAGCTTTTACAGATAAACGTGCGTATTATATACGAATAATTGCAGCGGTTGCCAAGATAGTCTGGGTTTGATTATCACTGGATACCCAACAATCTGTGTCTTTTCTTTGTAAATTATTAACGAGTTGATTCGGACACTTCCACATGGTCTAATGGTCAGCAAGCTTGTCTCGATATATCAATTACGACTGAGTAGTGGGTTCGATCCTCATTGGGTGCTCTAAACTTTCGGCCTTGTGCCATATCTAAGCAACACTTAGTAAATCGCTTGGACACTTCGATGTGGTGCAACGGTTAGCAAGTTTATCTCACGAGATCAATTACGACTGAATAAGGAGTTCAATCCTCATTGGGTACTCCTGACTTTCGGTTTTGTTTCACATCTAAGATACGTTTAGAATATTAAATTTAACGAATTGATTTCGTGAATTTTTAAATTTTTTTTTTTTTTACTAATGTTCATTCTATCCAAGGCCCAAAAGCCACTCAATGAAGAGGTTTACTGAAAGCGGTGGTTGTGTGAGCATTAAGAAGCACAGTTTATCAGAACCGCGAAATGAAGGTCATAGTAAACGGGTTCTCCTCCAGTTCATTTCACACAAACGTTGGTGTTCCCAAAGGCTCTATCCTGGGTCCTACACTGTTTCTGATCTACATCAACGATCCTCCTGATGTCATCAACTCCCAAGTTGACATCTACGCTGACGACACTACTATTTACTCCTTCCTCAATAGTAAATCCGGCATCGTTGACAAAACTAATCGGGCCGTAGGCTTCGAGAAGGACCTCCAATCTGTGGTTGACTGGGACAGGAAATGGCTTGTAAACTTTAATACCTTTAAAACGAAACTGCTCTCAGTTACCCACCATAGAGAAACCCCTGCCTCCTATCAGGATGGCTGATGCCCAACTCCACGAGAGCCCTTCTTTGCCCCTGCTTGGTCTTACGCTGACCACTATAGCTTCATCTACCGCAAGGAAAGTTGGTTCTCTGTGTCGCACCAGAAGGTTCTCACCCGAGTCCATCCTTCAAATCTACAAATCTGTAATCGCTATCTAACAGACGTGCTGTGGCTTCTCTCTACTTTTTAGACAAGTATTTTCACGGCAACTGCGCCAACGAGCTACTTTCACTGGTTCCCAAACTGCATGAATTTAAGCATGCTACTCGGTTGGCATCTCGGTCCCACCCTTTCACTGTCGAAACAGTTAAATATAGCCGTCTCTTCTACTCCAACAGCTTCTTATCTCGCACTTCCCGACAGTTGAACTCCCTTCCTCTTACTTGCTTCCCTGATAGCTTTAATCTTCAAATATTCAAATGTAATGTCAATCGACATCTTCTGATGCCTTGACCTTGATTTCTGTCCTTCTCTTTATCCTTTTCACATACACTACTCTTAATCTCATTTTCTGTAACCCTTTGCGTGCTAGTGGCACTCTTGCCTTGCTTGGGGTGATTTGCTTAAAAAAAAAGAACGTTTAACAGATAACGGTTAACCGTAGATTTAAAGGGGTTAAGATTGTAGTGGTCGGGAAAGCAACCTCCTGAGATTCTCTTCCACAAAGCAACAGTTCTTTGAAAGAATCTATCCAAGTGGGCCTTACTCCTTACTAATGGAATACGAACGGAATGAGAATGGTTCGCCTGAATGTGCTAGTCGTGGAGGATCCTAGGTGGGAGGATTAAAGTTGGGGAAACTAAGGAATGTAGCTCGTCTGAACATTTTCCATGGAAAACGCGATAGCTTAGCGTCAGGCATGCAACATTTTATCTTTGGGAAAAGAGGTTGTAAGGGGGAAAACAATCTATACGCAATGCCCCCAACAGATTGCACTGTGGGAGACTAACTAAACTTCGACAATAGATTTGCGTCTCAGCAATATATTTCAGTGGTTTTGGCTTGCTTGTTTGTTTAATGTCGAATTATTTTTTCTCTAAAATGCTTAAGTTTCGTTTGTGTTTAAACGTGAGAGTCATTTATGCTAAAATCTGTATTTAATGATCTTTTCGAGCAAAGCAGACAGAGAAATAAATTTAGCTGCATTTAAAAATACATTTTGGAAATATTCCCAAGAAACAATGGAAACTTTAAGAGCAAAAAAGAGTTGTTTTTTTGTTTTGTTTTTTTTTCGTAGAAAAACATAGCTGAGAAAATCGATGTACGTGCATCTAATAGCTATATGTAAATATCTTTTACGACGGAGTAGTCAGTGGCGTAACTAGAGGGGGCGGCCCGACCCGGGAGCAGGGGCAATTTTGTGTCTGCTGTAGGTTATAAGTCTGTTTAGACTGTATTGAAATAAAAGTGGTTTTAATGTCGGGACAGTACTCACAGCTGAGGAATCTGCGATTCCGAGTAAATTAAACTATGGCATATATACAGGGTGGTCTGAAAGTCTTGTTACCCCTGCATAAGATAATTTTCTATGACTGACACGGAAATGTTCATACAGATCTTCTCGATGTGTGACAACGTCAATGAAGGTGAATAAACTGAATCCTGTACATGTTGTTTGCACTATTTTTCTGCTGTTCGCATTATATTTTGGGGGGACAAGACTTTTGGACCACCCTGTATATTGTCCTACCTATTGTCTATAGAGCGACAGGACATCTTACTTATTATAAAACGCAGATTGTGTGTGTGTGTCTGTACGTTTATATATTGGATCGGATTTCCTACATTTTTCAACCGATTTCAACAAAACTTCACAGGACTACGTAAAATTACCTTGCAGTGGTTCTGACAGCGCCAAAAATTGGAAAAACACAATTTTTTTTAATACGAAATCAGTTTGAAAACACGATTAAGAGGCATCACTGTCGCCAGAATGAAAGGGGGGCAACTCATATGGAGTTACACTTATTATAAAACCTAAATTGTGTGTGTGTGTGTGTGTGTGTGTGTGTGTGTGTGTGTGTGTGTGTTCGTTTATATATGGGATCGGATTTCCTACATTTTTCTATCGATTTCAACAACACTTCACTTTTTTTTGGCAGGTAGTGTTTCTTATTGTCTTGCACAGTTTTTTCTTTATTTTTACATTCAGAATGCTTTAAAAATTCCATTTACAAGACAATTGTTTATAATAAAATTCTATTCAATCGGTAGACTCATAACGATTGAAAACAATGTTTTTGTTTGAGTTTGGGTTTGACCAATTCTTAAAAAAAAACAAAAAAAAAACTAATTAAGACATGCGTGTCCGTCAACCTTAAACAATAATCTTTGTCAATTTTATTTTTCAGTCTTTATGATGGTCGATACTTAATCTATCTCTAACTGTTACATCCCCGGGCAACGCCAGGCTCTACTGCTAGTAATAAATATTTTTTGACAATGTTATTGAAGAATTTGCCAACAAAAATCAAGAAAATTTACTTTGTAGAAAGTTGTAATTTTCATTTCAGAAATAAAGATCGTCCAAATTTTTTACACTTTTTTTTTCCCTATATGTCGTTTTTGCTTTTTAACTGTTACTGATAAAGTCTGTTTGGTGTTGATTGAAAGCATACTATATTTTAGTATATGAAAAGAATATTATAATGGTACGCAAACTAGTTTTATAAGTTTAAAAGCGAGTCACTGTGTAATATGTATTATTGCTGAGGCCTGGGGCGGCAAACTCAAGGGTTGCCCCTGGTGACACACACTCAAGCTGTGTCACTGGGAATGGTGAAAAATTTCTCAGCCTGTCCACGAATCCTCACAAAAAAAATCGATTTTGGCCATTTCTTCAAGTGATCGGAATTGTGACTGACTGACAATTATGTAGTACCCATTTGTATTTTTGCACGCCATTTTATCCCACCAATTATTTCGTTTGAGATTTTATAAGATAAAAAATATTTACATTTTTAAAAACTTTTATTAAAATTTTTAAAAATAATTCGTTATTTCTGTACGCCATTTTATTCCACTAATTATTTTGTCTGGGATTTTATGAGATAAAAAATATTTACATTTTTAAAAAATTTTATTGAATTCTTTTTAAATATTTGTATTTTTGAACGCCATTTTATCCCACTAATAATTTTGTCTGGGATTTTATGAGATAAAAAATATTTACATTTTTAAAAAAATTTATTGAATTCTTTTTAAATATTTGTATTTTTGAACGCCATTTTATCCCACTAATTATTTTGTCAGGGATTTTATGAGATAAAAAATATTTACATTTTTAAAAATTTTATTGAATTCTTTTTAAATATTTGTATTTTTGAACGCCATTTTATCCCACATTTATCATGGATTTTGTGAGATAAAAATATTTACATTTTTAAAATTTTTTATTGAATTCTTTTTGAATGAAGAATTATAATTATTATATAAATATAAAACGGGTCCTTCTTGCAGTTACCCATCGACCAGATACTTAACTCCTGTTGGGTCTCTATTCTAGTTCGCGTGGGTGTACATAAAAACTGGGAAAGGTCCGCCACACGTTCACAACGAAAAGGATAACTAATGCCACGGTGTGAGATGAAAATATGAATCCTGTTTTCAAGAATTTGATTATCTAATTCAGGGATTCACTTGAACGGTCTGCTTGGGGTAGATGGGTGACACCTGTAATAACTTTTGCAATGACAGCCTTACGGATCAGCTTTTCCCTTCAAACAGCGAGAACACCCACCGCCCCGCTCACGTCTTCCTAACGACGCGTAGTTAGCAAGTATAACGGGCGTCATCGGAACTACCTCGACGGACAACCTGTCTCCAACAACGGGCGATCCAGAACTACCCCTAATCTTGTAATCGTTTATAGAAGCTTGCAAACGGGAATTTACAACATCCGGTGAAATGGCACTTGTTTCCAAAAAGTGTAAATTTATTTGTATATTATTTGATTCCCTTTGGGTCAAGTGGGTAGCTACTTTGAGAACCTCATCTCTTTACTGCTGGTCATAAAATACACAAAACAATTAAGTCTCAGATAAATTCTTTTATCATCTTCTTCTATGTGGCTTTCCTGGCCCCAATTGTAGCGTCTTAATTACATGCTTTGTTATACGGACCAGTATGCGCACAACGTTTCGATCATTGTAACTTTCGGCCTTCTTCAGGTATCTGTCTTTATATTCGGCATTATTTTTGGAATTGCGAACTAAACAATTTATTCAAACAACGAAGATAGATTGTTCTCATAGATAATTAGATTAGAAATATTTAGTTTCCTGGAAGTTATGAGTTACATCTGTGTCTGGCAGTGCTGAAAAATCCTATTCTGGTTTAGTGGAAGAAACGGACAAGCGACACAAAGGCGAATAAGAGTTCACATTCATGTTTGTTCGACACCGACATAGAGAGAAAGTAATCTGGTATTATCAACGGTTTGAACATGGCCAGTACACTCAAACTCTCAGTCACGATGACTTGTGACTTTGTGCTACCACAAGCATTGACGGCTTTCGAACAGTTCACAAGGCTTGGATCAACCTATGGTAAGGTTTTCAAGCCTCACCGGTCTGATAAATCGACTATGCTAAGATTTGAACCCTGGTCTCATGATCAGAATGTGATATTTCTATCCACTTGGCCACGTGCTCATATTCTCTGTTCGTTCTAGACGTAAAAGCATATACCGGTTGAGTATCTTTTATCCGAAATTCCCAAATCCGAAAACCTCTAAAATCCGAAAACCTGACATGACTTACAACAAATGGAAAATTTCATAAAGGACTGGGAAGGTTACTCGTGATGTGCAGCTGTTGTAAGTGGCCTCATCTGCCCTGGGCAAGGGTTCCTCAGTCCAGCTACGTAGCCTACGTTGGCGCCAGTTTTTTGTTAGTGTTCGTCACAGCAACACATTCATTCGTTGATTACAAACCAGGTGTTTCGTGCTCAGTAAAGATATTATTCAAAATGTCAACAAGTCCTGCATTTATTTTTGTAAGTAGTGATCATGTCTTTTTGTAGACATACAGAAAGTACAAAACATTATTTTTATGTGAAATCTTAACTTCATCATTTAAAAATCAGTGTGAGCATTACATGACTAGCGTTAATACATGTATCTGTGTGTACACAAAAGTTATTAAATCTATATATTTCCAGTTGTAGCCTCTGTCTGTCTGTTTGTTATAGAACTCTCCCTCGGGTTTTGAAGATAGACCCCCATAATCATATATATTTTGAAACTGCATTACCTAGGATACTTGGATAACTATATCTAATTTTGATTAAAGGAGGTCCCGTGGAGGGGGGGGTCACAAACTCAAACTGAATTTTTTCCCCTTTGATTTAAATTAAATTTAAATTTGAACAAGGAAATAACTCCTATCCAAAATAATGAAGGAGAAAGACAGAAGATGGAGGTCACATCGGCAAGATCAAAATGAGACAATATGGACATTAAGTTGAGCAAGAAATCACCAATCAGTGGTTAGTGCCTTACAATACATATTTGTTGCGATAATTCACCTGTCATATCAGTGTTGAAATCTGCTCATCAATTCATTTAATCAAGTTTTGCATCGAATACATATGAAAGGGGGTCAGATCTGTTTTTACGCAAAAACACACACACACCCCTGAATTTTTCCAGTTCAATTTAAATTAAATTTAAATTTGAACAAGGGAATGACTCATATTCAAAATATACAGGGAAAAATCCAGAAGATGGAGGTCACATCGGCAAGATCATTGAGTAATACTGAAACGCATCATTTTTCTCCAGAAATTATAACAATGATTTAAAATCAGTCATCATTTACTGACGAAAAAAATATGTAACACGCAGCAAGGCGCGGGTAATTCGGCTTGTTTTATATAAAACTATTTTTACAGTATATGTCATTTATATAAAATTACATTCAGGGTATATGTATAAGCTGTGTTATGAAATGTAAAAGGATATCATGTTTATGCTTGGGTTCCATTCCCAAGCTGCCCTATTTTATAGATGTTATATACAAATTATATAACCTGTATTCCAAAATCCGAAAAAATCTGCAAACCGAAGCACTTCCGGTCCCAAGAATATCGGATAAAGGATTCTCAATCTGTATCCCCCAAACTCTTTCACTTCCGGTCGTTTTGTCACTACTTTAGAACCTTTAAAAAACAAAAAAGGATGGCTATCCAGAGTAAGGTACATCTATATGAATAAATGCGAAATTGGAGCTTAATTATTCCACGAATTATAAGGTTAAAAGTCCCGATTCTACTTTATAGTAATTTGGCATTTATCGACCCCTCACCTCTACACGGAGTCGCGTTGTCACACAAGGTCGGATTAATGTGGGGAGCCCGAGCCTGTACACCTGGACAAGGAACAAAAATCCCCGGAGCCCCCGCATCAGTCGGTTGCGCTTGTCTCGCTGCGACCACCAATCCCTTTCTCTTTCTGGTGCAATGAGAGGACGCGGCCTTGGGCAGCTGTTCCCCGGGGCTGGGTACCTCTCTATAATTTTCCTCTGTCCTATGATGGAGTCGTCCCTGGGCGTACTCTGCCCAAAGACAGAGACGCAACTAAGAGATAATAAATAATGTGTTACAAACTACTCGAGTCAGTAATTTGTATTTACACAACCCCCCTCCCATACGTCAGGTTGTAACAAAAGGTCGGTTTAATGTAAGAAGCCCGAGCGCGTACACCCGGGCAGAAACAACAATTCCCAAGCCACCGCAACCTTTGGTTGCGTTGGCCTCGGTGCGTGCACTGATCCCTCTCTCTAGCGCAATGAGATGTTCCCTAGGGCTGGGTACCTCTCAGTATAATTTTCCTCAGTTGCGACTGTGTCCTTTGACGGAACCGCTCCTGAGCGCACTCTGCCTCAAGACAGAGACGCAACTGAGATATAATAAATAGCGTGTTACAAACTACTCGAGAGTAATTTGTATTTACTCATCCCCCACTATGCCAGGTTGTAACACAAGATCGGTTTAATGTGAGGAGCCCGAGCGCGTACATCCGGGCAAGGAACAAAAATTCGTCGAGCCCCTCTCTGGTGTAATGCGAGGTCGCGGCCTCGGGCAGCTATTCACCAGGGCTGGGCACCTCTCAGTATAATTTACCTCAGTTGAGAGAGAGAAAGAGAGAGAGCTAGACAGAAAAACGAAGAGGAGAAAGACAACAAAGTCAAATATAAGGAGAAAGAAGTAATATAGAAAAACAGGGTGGAAAGAGAGAAAAAGTAAAAGAAGGAACGAGCGAAAGAGAGGAGAGAAAAGAATCGGAAGAGAGGAGGAAGAAAAAAAAAGAAAAGGAAGAGGAAGAAGAAAGGAAAGAGAAAAAGGAAAGAGGAGCGAAAGAGAATGAAAGAAAGTAGAGAAGAGGAAGGAAAGGACAGAAAAGAAAGTAAGAGGAGAAAAAAGGAAAAAGAAAGAGAGGGGAAAGAAAAAATAAAAAAAGAGAGACGAGAGAAACAGAAGGTAGGGAAGCAAAGAGAAGAAATGAAAAAAAGGCGAAAGAAAAAAGAAAAAGAGGAGAAAGAAAAAGGAGACAGAGAGAAAGGAAGGGAGACAGAAGAGGAGAGATAAAACGGAACGAAGAATATGAGAGAAGAAAAGAAGGAGAGGAGAAAGTAAAAAAAAAAAGTAAAAAGAAAGAAAGGTGAAAGCAGAAGAAAGAAGAGAAGAGAGAAATCGGAATAAAGGAAGGAGAAGAAAGTAAGGAGGGGAGAAAGTAAAAAGAAAGAGAAGCAAAAAAAGGAGAGAGAGAAAGGAAGAGATAAAACTGAAGGAAGGAGAAAAGAAAGGAAGGGGAAGAGAAAGTTCAAAAGAAAAATGGAAAGAGATAAAAGACGAAGAAAAAGAGAATGGAAGAATGGAAAATACGGAAGGAAGGAGAGAATGAAGAAAAAGAGGAGAGAGAAGAAAAAAACAAGGGAGAAAGGAGATTAGAGAGGAAACGAGAGGAAGCCGAGGTGAGAGAGAAAAGGAAGATGAGGAGAAAGTAAAAAAGAAAAAAAAAAGGAAAGAAGGGTAAAAGAAGAAGAAAAAGAGAAGTGAGAGAAGAGAATGGAAAACGGAAAGGAGAGAAAACGGAAGGGGGGAGGAAATGAGAAAGAAAAAGAGAAGGGAGAGAGAAAAACAAGGAAGAAGGAAGAGTAGAGGGAAAATGAGAGGAAAGAGAGGAGAGAGACGAAAGAGACGAAAGAAATGAGAGGAGAAAGTTAAAAAGGAAAAAGAGGTAAAAGACGAAGAAAAAAAGAGAGAAGAAAATGGAAGAAAGGAGAGGCGAGAAAACGGAAGGGGAGGAAAGAGAGGAGAAAGAAAAAGAGAAGAGAGAGAGAAAAAAACAAGGAAGAAAAGAGAGTAGAGAGAAAACGAAAGGAAGGGGAGGAGAAAGTCAAAAAGAAGAAAAAGAAAAGTGAGAGGGGAGAATGGAAGAAAGGAAAGGCGAGAAAAGGGAAAGGAGGAGGGAGAGGAAAAAGGAATAAGAGAAGAGAGAGAAAACAAGAAAGAAAGGGGAGGAGATAGACAAAAGGAAGAAGAGGAAAATGTTAAGAATAAAAATGAAAAGATAGGTAAAAAATACGAAAAAGAGAAGAGAATGGAAGAAAGAAGAGAAGAGAGAAAACGGAAGAAAGGAAGAAGAAAGGAAGATGAGAGGAGAACGAAAAAGCGGAAAGAGAAGACAAAGAAAAAGATAAAACGAAGAGTGAGAGAAATGAAGAAAGGAGAAAATAGAAAAAAGAAATCAAGGAGAGTGGAGATAGAAAGAAAAGGGAAAATAAGTGAGTATAATAAAAGCTATAAGTACAAAGCCTGGCGTTAGACGAATCGTGCTTGCTGATGCATTTAGTGCAGTACAAAAAGTGTATCATAATGAATCCAAGATATTACTATAATGGTGAGCATCTGAAAAGTTAATAAAGGTTTGACAGATGCTGACGTAACCCCATTTTTAATATGGATGCCTTGAAGCGATCAGATTTGGTTGCTTTTAATTATTTATTTGTTTGAACAAATCAAATTTGTTTTCTTAGTTGGTCACACTTCAGCGTACGGTTTCTGTCCATATTTCTAAATGAGGTATTGTAATTATTTACATTGTTCGGGCTGTTGTACCGCAAATTATTTACATTGTTCGGGCTGTTGTCACCGGACAAGTCATAAGTGGTGACCCAGAAACATATGAACAACAAATGGTCAGTACAAACAGTACCCTACAACGTAACAACTAGCCCGGATACATGACAGCAGATCCGACAAACTGGGATAGAAGGGTACAAGAGGATAACAGCACCCAGATAACAGCTGCCTACCCTATGTGAAGGGATTATCGGAGAAAATACAAAAGATCCGTGGTTCATATAACATCAGGATAATGAAGGACTTTCACAGGCTGAGAAGAAAACACCGGGCCCCCGTTGGGTTTACCGAAGTTAAGCAATGTCGAAACCGGTCAGTACTTAGATAAAAATATGGAAATATATATATATTAACAAGAACAAAAATTAATTTCAAAAGTTTCAAATTCCAGCATCCCTACTCCTTAATGCGCATGTGTAGTTACATCAAAGTTAACATCACATTTCGTCCGATTAAATCCTAAAGGACGAAATGCGTCACTGAGGATTTAATCGGACGCAAAAAATATATATATATATATATATATATATATATATATATATATATATATATATATATATATAATGGCGATATATATATAAAAAAAAAAATTTACCTAACGCACCTATATATATATATATATATATATATATATATATATATAGGGTGCGTTAAATAAATTGTCGGTATTTTTACTTTTTTTATTAATTTCGCGCATGCGCATTGTTTTTTTTTTATTTTCTCGACTGAACAGGATAGTAGGGTCAGTTGGGCACCGTCTGTGAGAAAGAGATTACTATAACGCAATTTACTCCGCTAGAAATTTAGAAACGGCATTCACGCCAGAAGCTTCAATACGAACATTTCAGAGTTTTTGGGTGTCAATATGAGGACAATGCAGAGGATTCGAAAAGATTTGGATGAGTCTAATGGTGATTACGAAGGTGTTTGGAGTGATCACTAGTGATAGCGACGTTATCCCTCCATTGATATTCCCACAGGGCCTTAGACTCAACAGGGAAGCCTACATCAAGTGCCTTGAGGAGCTAGTGCTGCTCTGGATCAAGAGGGTGGCTGCTGGAAGACACTGTGCCTGCCAACAGGACCCTTTTTCTTTCTTTTCAAGGCATAAATAATGTAGAAATAGTCCGAAAGTTTGGTATACCCGTGCTCTTTTAGTTCTACTTTTAGCCATTATCAAGGATGATTTCATTTTTAGTTTCAGCTGAATGCATGAATTTTTTTATGTATGTATATAAAGTTATAGGAATGTTTTATTTTCCGAAGACGGTCAGCACATTGTGGCCGTGTTCATAGTTTATGTTATTGACTGTTGGCTTTTTCATTTTTATTAATAATGCTTCCATAATTTCTAGTCATTATACATGTGGATGAGACTATTATATTTGTATTATTATCAACGACCATGTTGCGGATGGAGTTTAGTGGGTCTCCATGTGTATTTAAATGAAACCTAAATATATATATATATATATATATATATATATATATATATATATATATATATATAAGCATTCCACCCTAAGCAAGGCTGGAAGCCACTAGCATGCAAGGGGTTACATAGGATTTGGAGCGAGAGCAGATAGGAGTGATATAGACGAAAGGATGAAGAGAAGGATAGGGGATAGATCAAGGCAACTGGAGATGTCTATTGACATTACATTTGAAAGGTTGGAGATTATAGCTATCAAGGAAACATGAAAAGATGAGGGAGTTCCACAGGCGAGAGGTGTGAGATATGAAGCTATTGGAGTGGAAGTGACGGCTACATTTAACAGTTTCAACAGTGAAAGGGTGAGAGCGGGATGCCAGCCTCATAGGACGCTTGAATTCATGAAGCCTGGGAACCAGCGAAAGCAACTCATCAGAGCAATTACCATGAAAGTATTTCTAAAAAAGACAGAGAGAAGCGACGGCACGTCTGGGAGAGAGCGACTGCAGACGAGATGCCAGATGAGGGCCAATTGCATTGCATATCCGTCTCTGGATCTTATCAAGAACCCCGAGGCAAACAGAAAGGACTCCAGACCATATATGGCAGCAATACTCCCAATATATATATATATATATATATATATATATATATATATATATATATATACATACAGGGCTTGATACTATAATCAGTGACAGAACTAATTTCAACTCGATTTAAAAACCGTAACCCTAACTCTTAGTTCCGATTTGAAATTCTGCACCTATATATATATATATATATATATATATATATATACACATATATATATATACACACACATATATATATATATGTGTGTGTGTGTGTGTGTGTGTGTGTGTTATTATTCAGTCAGTTATGTACCATGCATGATACACGCTTAGGCGATCATGTATCGTTCAATACATGACTGACGAGGCAGCTTTTTTGCCGGCAGTAGCTTGCCATTTCTTTCTGCGGTAGATCAGTTGCCATCCAAGGCTATAGAACTCGGTCTGCCCTGCTATTTACCCTTTAGCTTGGGGGAGGGTGGAGAAGAAGGGGATCCATACCTTTCCCAAGGGTATTTTCACGTAAGTGAATGTAATGGATTCGACTGGAATTATTATTACTATTATTAAAAACAACGGACATTTTGTGTCGATTAATTTTATTGATCTACTTTTCCAAAATACTAATAACTCTTCTCCGAGAAGAAGGAAATTCCATCAGAAATTATCCGAAGTTCATTTCGGAAGACAACTACAGGAAATATGTTCCATGGTTTTGATTTTAAGTCATATTTCTGGTAGTTTCATAACGTCGGACTATTTCAACTGATGTTGTGTATTCTCCATAATAAAATAGACCGTAGCACACAGTAATTGACAATACTTTGTTTCTGGCTGCTGGAAAAAGAATGCTGAAAAATACCTTCAGCTCCTGCTCTAGGCAATTTGCTAATTAGCAGGAACCGTTCCACTGGAGCATTGTTCACTGTAACATATCGTAAGGATAATGAAAACACTACAATTTTGCTGCTATCAATTATTTTCCCCCTTCTTTGGATCCCATGCCCATTGATGTAAACAGCATTCTGAATAATCGCTCACATCTGTGATTAGCCTTAGTTGTTGAAATCTATCGTGTTTTTGCTTCGCATAGTGTAGAAAAAAAGTGTCTGAAAAGCGAAGAAAAGAAATAATCTTCAAACACAGCTCTACAAATTTAAATAATTTTCTTATTGAGTATAAAACTAATCTTTGTTTTCTTTCAAGATGAACGAAGCAAGTTATAAAGTCCCGCGCAAACATAGTTCAACGAATTATTTTTTTAACAACAAATGCATTGCGTTAGTATGAGTCAAAAGATGTATATGACTATGCAAAAATTTCGTATTTACGTTATTTTATGTATGCGTCTTAATGTGTTGTCATTACAGCAGTAAGCAATGTTATCAGTTGAACTTATTTGTACCACTTCTACAGTTCGCTTTGTTTATATATCTCGCTCGGATGTTCTTCGTGTTGCATGAATTACCTTAAAAGCAAAAATTATTAGCAAGAAGAGACCTAGAACACAATAAGTAAGTTACTTTGAGCATGCGAAAAATTAGTTTGAGTGTTCAGCCTTGTTTACATCTCCAGTCGGTTTATACTGAAGACTGATCTTGTTAATTTACGCTACGTTTTCTATAAAGAAAAATTGAATCACAGGAAGTTAAAAGATTTACTAAAATCAGAAGTTTCATTGGTTAATAAATATATTTCCTAATTTTTAATATCTAATTTTAGGAGGGAAAAGATCTTTCAATTTTTGTAGCAACAACACAGAAATAGTTGTCTGCTTTTTGAAAGATTGAATGACGTTTGATATAAAATCGCTGATTGTCTTATTAATGCTAATGTGTTAATATTAATACGGACTTCGTGTGATACTATTTTTGCACAGAGTTGATGTCTGTGTGAGCCTTTTTTTTTTTTTTCACAGAGTCGAGATTTTAGTGCTATTTCTTTTAAATCTATTGACTTTTTTCTACATTTTTGATAAGATTCTGCAGTAGTATCTGCACGCCATCCTAACCGTTTTTGACATGTTCAGGTGGTCCTGTTTTGAATTCAGTTTTACAACTTCTAGATTGGTTGCCAATCACGCCTAGAGAGGCCAGTCCACTTTGCTATTTAGCGCATAGTAGGAAGGAAAATATATGAGTTCATACCTTTCTCAAGGTTATTTATACGAAAGTGAATGTAAGTCAACATACATTGGAACAATGTTCGCCTATTTCTTGTTTCCAGCCGCTGTGTGCTGCGTTATCAAAGCCTAATCAACAGTACAGACAGGAATTATTGTAAAATAAAGAGTTGCTTTGATTTCAGTTTTTAACTTTGAGAACCTTTAACAGAACCTTTAAAAAGAATTATTTTTTTTATAAATAGAAATTATTTTTAATTTAAAAAAAAATGAAAATAAAAGAAATGCATTTAGTAATTTTAACTATACACGAGTGACTTATTTTGAAGAGGTTAAAAATCATGTATTTTCGGTGACCGGTTGTACTATACGCAGGTAATTTTTCTGGAGGGGTTAAAATTCATGCAAAATGCTCGTTACTCGCTGATGGCACAATATATTTTCCCAAAAAATAAATTCATATAAGTTTTCAAAACGCAAGAAAATTGCTCTGTGGAAGATATTCATGGAGTCGACTTATACACGAGTA